TACTACTCGTGTGCCATAACTTCTTGAGCTGTTTGGTTGTGGCCTCGACCAGCTTTGGGTGACAGTGACCCACACTTGTCGTCGCTACTCCTCCGAACATGTCTTAACCCATAATTCATTATTAAAAGTTATGTCAACCTCTGTACTGTATAACTGTACTGTATATTTGCCTAATATTTCACTAGTTTTCACATTTTAAATAATATTACAAATTGACCAGAATATAAAAATTTAAATTTTAAATATTTATAAATTTTAAAATGTGTTTTCAATTGATGGTCTGAATTGAATCTGTTTTATATAAGAAATAGATTGCATAATAATATTAAATAAGATTAACTTTTGCAATGAATGACAAATTCATCGAGTTTTTAATGACTTAAAATTCAAACTTCTAGTCTTATAGACGAGAAGATTAAAAAATCTTTTTTATATGCATTTCATTTAAATTTAAATTTAAATTCAATTAAAGGAATCATCAAGATCATATAACGTAATGTTTTAGATAGTACAATATCTAGAATTCGTAAAAGTGCTAAAATGACAAAATAAATATTAAGAACTATAATAAAATAAGTATTCAATAATTGTTACAATTATGATTTTCCTAAAATGAGAATAGACTACAGAGTATACCCTCTAAGAATTTTTAGTTTTCATATAATTTAATTGTAGGTGGTTCATTATGTTAATGTTTTAGTATTCATTTTCAAATGTTGTTTGTGAAGAACAGTGTTACAACTGTTTACACTTTTTACTGTATCATGGTGAACTCTAACTTGCTGATTATTATACAGCTAAATATCTGATTTTGGCAAACATTTTTATATTAAAAACTTTAGTTAATGTTTTAAATATTTATTAAAAGATTGCTTATACAGTAATTTCAAGGTTCACATATCTGTTTAACAAGGATATTAACTAATTTATTATTAACAAATTAATATACTGTATAAGCACTAACAACAATATTATATTTAATATATACTAAAACTTATTTAAATTAAAATATTAAAAATATCACAGTATTGTATTGGGTTTTAATTGGGTAACAGTATTTTTATAATTAAAAATATTCCTTGTGGATTAAACAACAAATAGATAATTACCTAAATATTTCTTGTTTTCATTATCCCAGACATATTGCATATATCCCTGGGTAATGAGAACAGGCTTTTGATACCAGGGTTTAAGACATGGATTCAAATTGAGTTTATGGATGGTTTCGATCTCGAAGTTACCTAATCGTGACTTCGCATACAAAAACAAATACAACTTATTTGTTTGACTCTCACTTTATAGCAATTGTTTGATTCCTTAGACTTACTTTAGAGTTGTTTGCATTGAAATCACATTTTGGAAGTTCTGGCCGTCTCTTCGAATAATATCTCAAATGATTTAATCGTATTTTTACACAATTTTTATTAAATATGGATAAACTGTTCATATTTTGTTTAAAATACAAATATTTGAAAATTGAATAAACAATGAATGCATGAATACATGGACTACTGCTCTGTATTTGCCAACAGATGTACAAAAACTGGACTCCACTTTAGGTTATGTGAGGAGAGGAGAGAGAGAGTGTGTGTTAAGGGATAGGAGTTTCCAGGGTTTCAGACAAGTATTTGACTGCACTCTATATGTTTAGGATTCGTATAAATCACTTTAAATCTGAAGTTATCCCTCGAAAAAGATGGCAAAACTGCAAGATCTATATAATCGTAAGCATTGGAGTCCATGTCTTCAT